GGTGATGATGAAATCTCCACTTTGGCTAAGCGCATATCTGGAGCATAAGAGAAGGCATATGTTTAAATCTGAAAGAAAATACCATTATCAGTTTTATATTGTACAGTACAGGGGGCGTGGCCCTAGCTCAGGCCTTTAAGCGGCTGCTTCCACAAAGCTGTCAGCCTCAGGTTGCTGGAGTTCGAACCTCACACCTCTCCCGCTGGCCCAAAGTGCCCTGAAGGCATTGGAGGAACAGAAAAAAAAAAAAAAAAAAAATTCCTTATATTGTACAGTACAGTACATTTAGAAGGCATGAGTAACCAATGACCAAATTATTGGGGGTTGTCTTCCAAGAGACCATGGAGACCACTGGGGGCTCCCTATTAATGAACAAAGGTTGGCCACCCCTCTACCCACCAATTAGAGTCCTGTCCAATAATCTCTGTCCATTTTAGACAAGAGGTGAGGATAAAGACTGCCCTGGGGATGCATGAGTCAGAAGGCAAAATGACGGGTACCAACAGGGGACTCCAACTCTGAGGAGAGGGAGGAGTCTGGGCAGCAGGCCAGGTAAGGGGACAGCAGTGTGCAAAGAGCCAAAACTGTGTGGGTTGCTCCGCTTGCCTGAGAGGGGCGTATCCTGGAAACAATAGAGGCTTTTTAAGGGGCTTCTGGCCACTTGCCTTTGTGATAACAGAAGGTTTTTGTATGTATTTGGTACAGGGTCTACAGGGTCTACAGGCTTGCACTACATAGGTAGGACTCCTAGTGATCCTCCTGTTTTCAGCCTCCCGAGAGCTGGGATTACAGGCGCTCGCCACCACGCCTAGTCTCCGCTGTCTCATCCCACCCCGGGGCGGGCTCGCGCAGCATGCCAGGGATGGAACCCGGTTCCCGCACCTGCCTCAGCAGGCTTTTCAGTCTGCTGACCTATCTGGCTGGCCCTTTCTGTTGTTGTTGTGACAAAATACCTGACATCCAAAATTAAGGAAGGAAAGGTTTATTTAGCTCAGTTAGTGTAGGTTTGCGTCTATAGAAAGTTGGCTCTAAGGCACACTGGAATATGTTAGAGGGCAGCAATTTATGGCAGTCTCAAAGAACAAAAGGAGAAACAGCAGCAGCGGTGTCTAGCAAGCCTCTCCCTTCTACACTGGCTGGGAAGACCAGAGCTCCTCTAAGGAACTGCCACCCACCA